TYYWWAMMAAGAGCAGAGCTCAGCATACTCCAGGCCGAGAATAGATTAGCCAKGAGAAGCGGGTCACTTCTGATTAGAAAGTAAAACTTSTGTGTGCTATGTTTAATTAGCTGAAAGACCTGATTTATTGATGTTGGAAGGCTGCCTTYTTTGTTCACAATACTATAAAAAGATTGCTTGTACACAATAAAGGACTTTTTTTTCTGCTGCTGCTTTGCTTGCTCTGCTTCTTCTTTCTTTTCCCATGCTGACCTGCATGGGAATTACTGCAACAGAGTCACATCCCAGTTCTTTTTAACTTTTTTTTCAAATATGTAAACATGGTCTCACTGAATTGCTTACGTCCTCACTGTGTTGCTGAGTTTGAGTTGGGAACTTGTGATTCCCTTCTTCAGCCTGCTTTTTCACTGGAATTAGTCATGCAATCTCTTCAGCAAAGAACCTTTCTTGTCTAWTCAGGGGTAATGAAAATGCACCCTGGAGTGGATGTAGGGACTGTTTCAGCATGAAGATGTGAACGCAACATGTTTCTCTTGATTAAATATCTCTTCTTGTTAGATTTAATTTTTCTGTATTTTAAATTTTTTGCATCTGTAGCCATCTCTCACAAATTATGACATAATCTTATATATACTGTGCCTGTATGTGTGCAAAATTTAGTGTGTAGTATAATTTTGTACATAGAAGTGTGTTATAGAATAGTACACAAGATTCATTGGTAAAATGTATCAATCCTTATTTGTAGCATTTTAATTTTTTTTTTTAGAGTTTTCATTTCCCTACTTCCCTTGAGTACATTTTCTCTCATATTGTTCTTTTTTTTTTCACTAAAGTTCTTACCAAATAAATTATGTAACTCTAGTCTCACAATTAAAAAACTTTTTCCAGGTCAAAAAAAAATCCTCTGAGAAACTCTACAATGCAATCTACCTCCCCTACAGGATGAAAGCCAACTAACTTCTTAATGGGGTTCACAAAGTCCTCTATGATGTGTTCCCTACCTATGGCTCTGGCTTTTTTTTTTTTTTTTTTTTCCTTTTAAGACAGCATCTTGTTAAATTGCGGAGGCTGGCCTCCAACTTGTAATGCTCCTGCCTCTGCTTCCCAGGCRTACACCACCACATCGGGCCTCACTTCTTAAAACACACTTCCACCACCACCATTAAGCCCCACAACTCTTCATTCCAGCAATCCTAAAGAGCCCAAATTTCACCAACACAGCAGCTCATCTGAAGCTTCTCAAATGTGTACACGTGGCTCCCTTCACGAACTGGCGGTCAGTCCTGGTCCAGCACATTCACCTTCCCAAACTCAGTTCACAAACCTCTTTTCCGCTGGGCTGATGGTGCGTGCCTGTCATCCCCGCTACAGGTGCGGATGAGGCAGGAGGACTGCAAGTTGGAGGCCAGTCTGGGCAACTCAGCGAGAAATGAAAATGGAAAGAGGCAATGGGTGGGAAGCCCGACGCCACCACAGGGAAACACGACAGCTCTGCAGCTCTGCAGCACGCCCACACTGACCCGCCGCCGGCTCCCCGCCGAGCCGGCAGACCCCCGCACCCTGACTCCGTACTCGCACCTGCCACGGGACCACAAACCCAGGACAATCGGACGAGTTAACCGACACGTGCCCAAGACGCAGTGACCGCCAGCGGGACAAGCTGGAGGGCAATGACCATCCGCCAACTAGAGGCTTGGCGGGCAGGAAGCGGACAGAAGGAAGAGAGCAGCCTGACGGCCGACAGCGCTCCTTCCTCGCAGGGGCCTTCCCGGGATGAGCGGAAGCCCCACTCACCCAGACGGCGGCCGTGCGGATCCTACCGGCCACGCCCAGGAGGCCGTGGGGCAGGGGCACCCGCTCCGGCTCCGCAAGCCGCACAGCAGCCGCCAGCTCTGGGAGCCCAAGACCGCACAGGGGTCCGGCCGCCGGCGACAGGCCCCGCCCTGCCCCGGGGACGCACGGGAAGTGCGTCATGCGGCCCAGCGCGCGGGGAACTACAACTCCCGTAGGCCTCTGCGCGGGGCCGCACGGGGGAATGCCGGGAGCCTCAGCGACGACGGCCCGTCCCTCACCCTGCAATCGCAGGGGTTCCTGACACCCCGCTACTTGTCCCCGTTAGTGACGTTCTGGTGGACGAAAAAGCGAAAGACGCTGGCCGCAGTCCGCGACTTTGGGGAGCGTCTGTCTCCCCGGAGGGCCGAGAAGCCGCTGGCCAGCCTGGCTCTCAAACCGCCTGGTCTGAGTAGACTTTTTTTCCTCCCAGCCCGGTCCCGAATTTTAACAGAGCGACGAGTGGGCKTCTCTCGGCTTCAAAACCCTGTGGGTGGGCCCGGCGCGGAGCAAGTGCTCTACCATGAAACTACACCACAGTCCCTAGATCCCATCGGCTCTGGAGGCTGAGACAGAACCGCCACTTGGAAACTAGCCTCAGCAATTTAGAGAGGCCCAATCTCAAAAAGTAAAAGGGCTGGGATGTCAGTGGTTGAGGCACCCCTGGGTTCAAGCCCCAGTACAAAAAATTTTTAAAAAGTTAAAAACCATATACGTTAACTTTTCTTCTTTATTACACTAAAATCCGTTGATCTACCTTGCACTTCGGATTCTTCTATCATTTATTTTGTAACGTCATGCATTAGCCATTTGGGAAGTACCAGCTGAGTTGACATATTTCACTAAACAATAAAATCATCATCATCAATATCATTGATCTTAAGTATCATGAAACTGAAATTCACAATGATAGATATAAGTTTCCTGAAATTACATTTTTCGACTTTTTTTTTTTTTTTTTTTTTTGCCGTGCTGAGGCTCAAACCCAAGGCCTCAAGCATGCCAAGAAATTATGTTAAAATAAGTAACAAGAAAATATTCTCCCTGCATAAGCTTATATCAGATCGAATAATTCACTGATGCAAGTGCTCTACCATGAAGCTACACCGCAGCCCCAGAAAACTAATTTTATATTGTCAAAACAATACTAGCATTCTTTTCCTTAAAGTGACAAGTTCAATTGGTTGATTTAGGGGGAAAAAAATGTCAAAGTCTGTGGCCTTTTAATGCAAACTTCAGCTCCCAACCRAGGTAACAGTGCAAGTGATTTTACTTGGACAACCCCAGAACTTCAGTACACAACATAGAATGTTCACTGCAATCATAAGAAGGTATGCACTCAAGTGCTGGAATAAAATGAATTTTTTACTGCTTCCTTAGGAACATTCTGAAGAGAAACTAGCCATTTTTTTTCCTGACATGCAGTTTTACCCTCCACTGTTTTTGCATTATCTGTGCAAAGGTTCACAACATAAGTAACAGCTTACATTTGGGAATGTCAGTGGCCACTGTGAAATTCTAACCCCAATGTAGAACCACACATTATCTAATTGTGGTCTCTCTACCATCTCCTTTGGGAATGTTTCACGAACCCATTCTCCACTTTAGCCGCAGGGATGTCATGGAAGTCGTGATGAGCTCTTTTCATTGCATCCTGTGAGGTGAACGGTGGTTCTGATTTTTTTGTCATATTGCTRAGGATGTTTGTTACATTGCTGAGAAGTTTGTCACCTGGTTAAGATGTGTTGGTCAGCATCATTGCCTTAAAGTTACTCATTTTCTCCGTGACTAATTAACGTGTCATAGTGAGGTAGCTGAGACTGTGTAAGTACCTCATTCCTCACTGAGCATGGAGACTTGGAATAACCTGATGCTGGCTGGTTCTTCACTTCATACCCACAGCCCCAAATCCTGCATTCTAAAAAAGACGAAAGCACTTCTCAGCTCAGTGTCCTGTCCATGATTTTTTTGTAAATTTGCAGTTCTTCAAGTCTGATGAAAACAAGAGTCCAATGTTATGGTGGACAACCCTTGGATGTCAACGTTAATGTCAAGCTGAGCCTCTTAAGGCTCTAAAGTCCTGAATGTGGCATCCCTGTCCCGGCACACAGCAGGAAGCTTCATGAGGTGGTCTCTGCCTGGACTCATCCAAATAAGGCTGCAGAGAATCCAATAGTTCCAATTGTAGTCAATCAAGAGCATTTAATTTGTCTCTACTGTGCTCCTTCTGCAGACAGGCCCTGCACCTCCACCCCACTCCTGCCACATACCCCAACAACTCTTCTCCCTGCCACCTTATTTAAATTGTAGCAAAAAACACAGGACAAAGATTTACTACCTTAATGTTTCTTAAATATACAATTACTGGTATTAAATGATCTAACCAAGCAGTCCAAAATTTCTGCCCTTAGTCTTGCCTTTATGGTCCATTTTTTTTTTCCTGAGTCTATAACCACAAATTCAGGTAACAAGCAGGGAACACTAAGAATGCACACAGATACAAAAACATTTAAAATCTGAACACAGAACATGGTTCTGCCCTGGCAGCTGCCTTGGGAATGGAGACAGGTTGAGGGAGGGAGAAGCAGCTGCTCTCTGCCAGAATCCCTGCTGCAGCCTGAGATCAGACTTGGGAGAGGATCCCAGGGTTCTGGTAACTAAACTGCTAGAGTCTTCAGAAGACACTGGTGCCGTATCTGAATCATCCTGAGACTAGGATCTTTTGCCTCCGCCGGGCTGCACAGTGCACAGTGCATGGGCAAGTGCTAGAAATACATCAATTTGTCATGTACCAGTAATGTCAGTAACTGAGGATGCCCGGGCCTTGTAGGGCTCAGGGGCAAAGGCCTGCCCATCATACAGGAAGCCATGGGTTCCTTCCCCAGCACCATAAAAACAGACTTCTCTTTGCTTCCCCTCTGTCCAGCATGATGGCCAGCCCTTCAGATGCAGAGGCAAGGAGCAGCAGAAGAGATGCAGACACCAGCCCGGGACATGTGGTGTGGCACCCAGCTCCTCTGCTTCTGGTCACAACCCCAGAAGAGTCACTGAACTCAGAAAGCAAAGCTGTCATGGACACTAGAGGAGGCAGCATGTGACTCAAGATGCACACAAACCATGCAGGATGCTTTCTTCACCTGGAGATGGCGTTCTAAAACACATCCGCCCACAGTACAATAGGGACAGGGCAGTTGGAGTCTGGGTAAGCGTGCCTCTGGGGAGAGCAGTAACCACCAGGACAGCCTGCACTCAGTTCTGTCTCAGAACAGGTAACTCCAACACCACCCAACTATGGACCAGGGACTACCTTATCACATCTCTGCCACAAGTTTGCTAGTTTTTTTGCTTTTTAAATTTATTTTATTTATATTTTTTAATGATACCAGGGATTAAACCCAGGAACACTCAACCAGAAAGCTACATCCTGAGCCCTTTTTATTTTGAGACAGGGCCTCACTAAGTTGCTGAAGCTGGTCTTGAACTTGCAATACTTTGGCTTCGGCCTGCCAAGCCACTGGGATTACAGGTGTGCACCACTGTGCCTGGCTTGCTAGTCTTCAAATGAAGCTCTCCCATTTCCAATCTTGGTGAATTTGGCCAAATTACTTAAAATTTCCAAACCTAACCTCAAAGTTTCCAAACCCTGTAGAATGGGGTTGGAGGAGTAATGTTAATTCTTTATAGGATTGATTTAAATATGCAGTTACCTGATCATGAAAGGGCCTGGCACATTGCTGCCTCATGTTATGCTATCCCTGGAGCTGCCAACATCAGCACCTATCATATAACTACAACCTTCAGTAACAGCTGCAGATCTCCTCCTTGCCCTGCAAACCCTGGTTTTCTACACATTTTAAAAATCAATTTTATTGCTGGGCACAGAGGTGCACGCCTGTAATCCYAGCAGCTTTGGAGGCTGAGGCAGGAGGATCCAGAGTTCAAAGCCAGCCTCAGTAAAAGCTAGGTGTTAAGCAACTCAGTGAGACCCTGTCTCTAAATAAAATACAAAAAGGGCTGGGGGTGTGGCTCGGTGGTCCAGTGCCCGGGAGTTCAATCTCTGGTACACCCCAAAAATCAATTTTATTGAGGTAAAACTTACATATAACAGACTGGACCCATTTAAAGGTGTTGTTCCATGAGTTTGACAAATGAACAGTGGAAACCAACAGGGCCAAGAGAAGATGGCTCTGGCGATTCCCAGGTCAAGCTGACCAGTCCCTCCTCACCCAGCCAGACAACCCCTGACAGGTCTGGATCTGTTTTCTGAGACCCAGGTTCCATCTGTGGAACTTGACAATGCAGTCCCATGGTCTGTGCTGTTCCTCACTCCCTGTACTAGACTTACCCTCCTGCTGGCTGCGTCCCCAGCCAGGTGTTATCAGAATTCCATTCTATTCAACACCATTTGCTCATTCACTCACACATCCTTATGTCTGTGTCTATTCCTGTTTCAGCTACTGTGAACAGTGCTACACATTCATCTACATGTTCCTGAAGGGACATATTTTCAATTCCCTTGGGGAAATACAGTGGATTTGATGGTCATACAGTTAACTGTTTAATATTTCGAGAAACTGCCAAACTAGYTTCCAAGCAGATGACTCATTTTATAGCCCACCAGCAATGTCAGTTCTAACCCCCCCTGCCCTCCACCCCCCACTTCATCTGGTTCTCCTTGGCCATGACACTGGATGTGAAGTGCTAGCTCCTCCTGGTTTTGATTTTCATTTCCCTATGCTGAGCATCTTATCATGTGTCTATTGACCACTCATGTATTCATTTGTGARGCATGTGAAAATATTCTGCAGTTTCTAATTGGATTGTTAAAACGTTATTCTCCTTTGGGTACAACAGAGAAATTCAAAGGAAAGAAGAAAACAATACAGGTGGCATATATTGGGAGTAGCAGGTGAACACTCTGTACTCATCTTGATAACTGTCACAATCTCGACTCTTGGCCTCAGCTGCCCAAAGAGCTGGTGGGAAGGCCATATCAGAGAAGATATTACATATGCCAATAAAGAAATCTTACAGCCAAACAGGCTCCCCTTCCTCACCAAACTCAAATTCCTATGGAGGGAACAAATATTGAATCATATTTGAAAATCTTAGCAAGCTTGAAACTGAGGTCAAATAGCTATTGA